TTTTGACAATGGAAACAAATTTTATAACTAATTGTGGAAAAAATTATCACTTTAATGGATAATTTTCATGTAAAACAAAGTCAAATAAACATAAAATTTTTAAATTTTTCGGGTGAAAAATTATACAAATCAAACACACTTAATTAACAATTCCCTGCAAAACAATTTCTAGGTAATTACTTTCCCTGAAATTCATTTTTTTTTCCACCAATTTGTCACCCTTTCAATGAACGGACCCTAAATGATTTTTAGAATGATTAAGTATTTATAATAATAATAATAATAATAAGTAATACTTTTTTACGTATAGGCGTCGTCTAACGTCATAAATCTTGAAGTTTGGCATTTATATCTAACCACGCTTACGCTTTTTAAAATACTGATTAATGGTCATTTGATTAAAAACATTGTTGGAAATGGAAATTATTTTTTATTTTCCATGGAAAATGTGCATTATCAAACAGGGCCTTAATAATTAAAATAATACATATCAAATATCTAAAATTGTAAAATACTATATCTACTTAATAGTTCCTACAACCTACAATTAGTCAATTATACAATTTTCAAGTTTTCGAAATACAAAAGTTAAGACTATTTTTAATAGTTTCAACTTTCAACTAGATAAATTCTACTTAACAAGTTTATAGAAATTTCATGCATGCTTTCGAAATTTTCAACATAACGATAGTTTCAAAATCATGATTACATAATATAGATAACGTCGTAGCTTAAATCTTTATCTGATAAAGTCATTTAAAGTTTTAAAACTAAAGTTAAATAAAAACCTTTTTTAAGAAAAAGGAAAAAAAAAAAAAGAAGAAATAAAATAGTTGTTAAACTAAAGTAAAATAAAAGGTTTTTAAAATAAGGGAAGTTGGTCGCTTAATTCGTTATTACTATGAAAGAAAAGTGTTTTGTCCACTCCTTGCTTCTAGGCGCACTTTTTAAAACAATGTCATTAGTATAAGCCTTATAAACTTGAGTGATTGTTACTGTGCCTTGTTTGACCCTAATTTTTCAATGCTCATTTTGTTTAAATTCATTTTTAATCACATATTCTATATTTTATCAACTTTTATAAAAAAATATACTGAAAATCTAATTTTTAGCCCAAACAACTAGGGACCGTAAGAAAATAACTTCATTGATCATTACATAATAATTCAACACGAATGATGCCTTGATGCTTTTTAAATATTTCATCTGTCCCATAAAAATAAGATTGTTTTTCTTTTTCATTTGTTCCAAATTATAGTCCACTTTCTTTATTGAGAATATAATTCATTTTTTTAATATACCTCTATTTAATGTACCGTGTTATCAACAGATATCATTTAATCCTACTTAAATCATTATATAATGTAGAGGTATTAAAAAAAATGTTTATATTTTTAATTATATTAATTATTTTTTCTTAACCTCTACGAAAATGAAAACGAATCTTTGTGGGAGGGAGGGAATGGTAAATATTGTTTGCCATTCGGCCAACTTCATATTCCTTCCAATAAGCATGTTGTTTATAAGGTTTAACAAAATAATGTTATCTAACACCAGTTTAGATTGACACATTTGATAGGTTTAATTACATTAATAATATTACAACGCATTTAAGTGAAACTATAATTTATTATCATACCGTTACCATTTAAACTAGTGTTTGACACCAATGGTGATAAATAACATCACTCCAAAAAAATATAATCAGAAATTCCTACCTCGTTCCCTCGAGAAATGTGTCCTCAAAATAAAAAATAAAAACTATGATTGACCAGCAGTAAACTAATTTTTTTTTTTGGAAAATTCCCATTTTCACCAGAAATTTACCAGAAAATGTTCCTAAAACATAACGATAGTTTCAAAATCATAATTACATAATATAGATAACGTTGTATCTTAAATGTTTATCTGATAAAGTCATTTAAAGTTTTAAAACTAAAGTTAAATAAAAACCTTTTTTAAGAAAAAGGAAAAAAAAAAGAAGAAATAAAAGAGTTGTTAAACTAAAGTAAAATAAAAGGTTTTTAAAATAAGGGAAGTTGGTCGCTTAATTCGTTATTACTATGAAAGAAAAGTGTTTTGTCCACGCCTTGCTTCTAGGCGCACTTTTTAAAACAATGTCATTAGTATAAGCCTCATAAACTTGAGTGATTGTTACTTTGCCTTGTTTGACCCTAATTTTTCAATACTCATTTTGTTTAAATTCATTTTCAATTACATATTTTATGTTTTATCAACTTTTATAAAAAAATATACTGAAAATCTAATTTTTAGCCCAAACAACTAGGGACAGTAAGAAAATAACTTCATTGATCATTACATAATAATTCAACACGAATGATGCCTTGATGCTTTTTAAATATTTCCTCTGTCCCATAAAAATAAGATTGCTTTTCTTTTTCATCTGTTCCAAATTATAGTTCACTTTCTTTATTGAGAATATAATTCATTTTTTTAATTTTGTTAATATACGTCTATTTAATGTACCGTATTATCAACGGATATCATTTAATCCTATTTAAATCATTATATAATGTAGAGGTATTAAAAAAAGTTTATATTTTTAATTATATTAATTATTTTTTCTTAACCTCTACAAAAATGAAAACGAGTCTTTGTGGGAGGGAGGGAATGGTAAATATTGTTTGCCATTCGGCCAACTTCATATTCCTTCCAATAAGCATGTTGTTTATAAGGTTTAACAAAATAATGTTATCTAACACCAGTTTAAATTGACACATTTGATAGGTTTAATTACATTAATAATATGACAACGCATTTAAGTGAAATTATAATTTATTATCATGCAGTTACCATTTAAACTAGTGCGTGACACCAATGGTGATAAATAACATCACTCCAAAAAAATATAATCAGAAATTCCTGCCTCGTTCCCTCGAGAAATGTGTCCTCAAAATAAAAAATAAAAACTATGATTGACCAGCAGTAAACTAATTTTTTTTATTATTTCCACCCCGACACTCGCCATGCAGGTTTACAAAACAGGGTAAAAAACACCATTTTGGTCACCCAACTTTTTCGGCTCCAATTGTCGCTCAATTTCATTCTGTTTTAATTATAATCAGTAAGTAAACTTTCGTTAGTAAAATTAACATACTGTATGTAGAAGACACTACAATGTGGCAATCCACCACGTAGCACAATCCATTAGTTTTACTAACAGAAGTTGATTTGTGATGTAACTGAAACAACACAAAAAAAGATAATAATAATAATAAATAGAAGTCCACTGATCAAGTTGAAACACTGACCAAAAGTGGCCTTCTTACCCTCTAAAATGGATTATAATGGTTGTACAGGGCCACAGAGCATGATTGCTCTAAAATGGGCCCTCTTACCATTTTCAGGGACAGAAGAAAGTGAACTGGAAATTTGGGTGTATCGTGTATGACAATCACACAGAAGGGTCATCTAGGCTCATCGCAGTTTCATTTTAGAGGATTTAGTGGACCAAAATTGTTCAAGTTTCACATCACAAGTATTATTAATTTATTACACTTGTGTAGATTAGAATGTCTAAATCCATGGTCACCTTCATACAAAACAATTCTTCCTCTTGGTTAATTGAAAAATACTCACTCCTCAGCACAAGTTTTATATGTCAAATTACTCACTAAGTATCGTAGGTAAAAATGACCACAAAAAGGAGCAAGAATAGAAAAGAACACAACACAACACCTTTTGCCATTTTAATTACGACGACCAAATTGGACAGAGGCTGGTACCTTAAGGGACAGTTTCACTGGTACTATACTATATCTGCACTTCTTGACGCTGCGGATCCAAATTATCTTCATTCGTTACTGAGCTTCTCATTTGTGGGCTGATGTTATTTTGTTCTTTTTCCTTTTTGTTGTCACTCGCTGCTCGTTCATCTGAATGTACTACCCCATTTTCCGCCACAGGCAGATTCCCATTCTCTGACATGCTCTTCGAGTCCACAGTATGTACTTGCTTTGGTAGTGTTCTTGAGGGAGAAGTTGCCAATAAGCGATTGATTCCATCAAATAAATTCTTGGCATCAGCAATCAGTGCAGCTCCACCAGGGTAACAGCGACCAAAGCAGGTGACACAATGCGGAAAAGCAACCTGCAAAGAACTCGCACAGAAATTTATTTTGTTGTTAGAAAAAAAAATGAGAATGTTTGGCTGTGCTAAAAATTTATTTTTCTAGAGAATAAAAACTTACTTTCTAGAAAAGGTTTCGTAGAAAAAGAAGTAACTCTAACAATCATGTTTGGTAAAAAAGTAAGTTTGAACTAGGGATGGCAATGGACCCAGTCCATTTTTTTTTTTTTTATTATTATTATTATTTCTGTAAATTCTAGGGTGATTTGGGAATTGGGATAATGGGCTTGAGTAATCGGTTTGGGAATAAAAGTTTGAGCTAAGGAGATTTTTCACAAATTTTGATTTTTTCTAACATAACAAGACAATCGGGGCAGTTGAGGAACAGCAAAACCCCACCCTGCTGCCCCGTCGAGCGGGGCACTACAGGGCTCGGGTTGTCTTGGCCAAATTGCAATATCTAAATTTGACTTACTTTTAAGCACGACCAAAGTTAAAGCTAAAAGTTGAACATGGTAATAATAAACTCACTTCGATAAATGCTTGGCACAGCTTAAGGAAAAGTAAAGATTCATTGTCTCTGAGCATCCTAGTTGTTTTGTATCTCAATAAAGAATCAGAAACAGCCTGCAGTCCCTTAACTAACTCTTGAGCAAGCACATTTTTCAAACTTAATGGAGCACAAGGACGTAGTTCATTCATAGCTGCTGATACACCTGCCACCACCAGACAGAAAGTGCAATAAACACCAATCATTAGCTACAACAAGGGAATGCATAAAACACTTCTTTAAATTAAAATACAATATTTAGGTAACAACCACAATTTACACAAATGCCTGTAAACAGGTTGACCAAATTTTAGACAATCTTACCATTTATAAAAACAGCAAGAGGTGGATGCTCCATAAGACTAGAAGGAGGAGTAACATCATCCAGATTTTCTTCACCCAAACTATTGGCAGGAAAGCCAATTGCTGGTAATGGGACCCAACGATGAGAATCCAACACTAACTGGAACGGATTAAGACAAACATATTACAAAATGAATTGTACCGTCAGACAAATGACAAAAGCATTATACTTATGAAATAAGATTTTATCATTGGTCATTGTACCTGAAAATTCTCAACAGCTGCGCTCATATTATTCGAGAATAAATTAAGGACTGCTCTGTTATCATCCAAAGACATGTATAGTCAGAGCTTTTCCAAATATCAAAAACAAGTGAGTGAATAAGAAAAGTAGAATGTGAAATTTACTCTTCAAATAGAGGTGGAAGCAGGCTGCGAAAATCCAACCCAACCCAGCCAAGACCCATGGCACAATACTGCCAACCACAAAGTATAAAGATTATCATCAAACTAAAGATAGAACATCTCGCTATTACAGAAGCCGGGTGGGATACCCAACATAATAAGATGCATAAGCGTCTTTTTCAGTTCAAGGATATTCAGTTCATCTCAGGCATGTACACATGGATAAAAGAGATAGTTATTGACTGTTCGATGTCTTTTATAATTTTTTCCAACTATCCAGACCATCAAAGCAACAGATAATTATACCAGATATCCCCATCAAGACATGTAAGAAAATGCAAGGAACAGGAACTCTCCATCTATCTTTGCTTTTCTCTATTTTTTGTTTTATTGTGGTTGGGGGGCATGAATAAGCTAATGAGCATGATGGTGTGGAAATCAACAACGATAGGTGCTCACCATGCATTGATCTAGAATATTTGACAAAGATCCTCCTTCACTTATCTTAGGAAGCATGACTTTAAGAGTTTCGAGGTGAGAGGTAATTTGATGCAAGGACCAGTTGAACAGAAGCCCAGCATCATGATTTTCTTCACTGCCTGATGTATCATCAGCAAATATGGCTCGGTATTGGTTAACGACATCAAAAAGATGCATTCTGTGACAATTTACCATCCTTTTTAAATATTCATATGGATTTCTCTGGTCTAAGTCATCGAGTATTCCAGTAAGCCATGCTTCGCGGCATCTCAAAAACTGCAAAGGAGCTTGATCAGAAACTCAATGCACGAATACATGTAAGGCCTGAATGTACTAGTAAAAAGAAATAGTAGAATTAAGTAATGGCAACATATAAAGTCTTGATGTAGCAAACCTGTAGGCGCATTTCGTACTCGCTAAATACGCCTATCCGACGCAAGTAGCCAATGATGCGAAGGCATTCTGGCAACTGCAAGCACAAATATGAATGCAATCAAGCCTAAATACTTCAACATGCTCGACAATTAACACAGCAGATTAGATATGTCAAGGTACCTGAATGTTTGATCTGAGCTTGTGGAGAAGCTGAGAAAGAAGAGACTCGGTGGTCTGTTGAACTTCAGCAGCAAGGACCTGAATCACAGGAATTCTTTTTTTGAAGGAAAAAAGAAAAGAGAAGAGTGCCTTTATAAATACGTTGAAAGATAAAACTAATTTGTGTTGGTGAGTAGAATTAGAGCCAGTACTCACTTTGGGTGCATTGTTGTAAGTTTTACAACAAATGCTTCTAAATCAAGAGCTTCATCATAATTTCCATTCCGTACACATCTACCGAAAGATAAAATTCAACTGCTACAGCATTAAATATATAAGATAAATAATAAATGAAACAAATAAGTTTTGAGGTGTACGTGTCCATAAGCTGAGGAATTTCAAGCAAGTCAAGCAAAGTACTATTATTGGCAAGCAAGGTTTGGTTCATCTTCCTCTTCTCCAAAATTTGTTCTGCTGACTCAAGAAACTCAGTGCAACCAAAAGTTAGCTTTGGGATTTCAGCTATCTGCAAAACAAGCAACGAAAATACAATCAGCATGATCTTTTCATTTCTTTATATCCTCCACATGAGCATTGAAAAGCACATAAAAAAATCTGTTATTTTGATTAATTGAAACTTGAAGGCACTGGTTCAAAAAGCTAATATTCACATTGGACCACTATTTTATTAACTAATGTCAATAAATATTCAAGGTAATAACCATTTCCTCGTGCCATTCATGACAACACTTAATACAAATTCAACCTTCTTCCACTTCCAAAATTCCCATTTACTTCACTCATAGCATCAGTCAACTTTTTAACAAGGCGCCAGGTTCAAATGAATAAAGTTTGATCAACATATTGCAAGCATGGTTGTTAACATAGCAACCTTCCACCTTTATTTTGCTCACACAACTGTAAACTGCATTAAGAATGCAGAGGACTTCTCACAGTGTTCGGATCAAAATAGCAATAAATTCACACTTTCCCATTGCATAATTGTTGCCCTTCTTATACTGCACTGCCCAACAATTAAAGCTAACCAGCACACCAATATGAATTTGCATCTGTGTACGTGTAGAAAACACTGGTTTTTTTTTATATTTTCACCAAATTAGAAGTCTGTGCATGGGAAGTAATGATTGAGAAAACAATTTCAACTCCCTAAATGAAATAAACCGCAACACTTCCCTTCATCACATTAAGCTACGTAAGGTTCCTACCTTAACACATACATCACAGCAATCGATGATTACTACTGCTCAGAATACAACACATAAATTGCATTATTTCAACAAGCACTACCATTTCCCCTCCCAAATTGGCTTAACTTAAAACAAGAAGCAGTACTTCATTTTACTGAGGAGAAAGCCACCCCCTTCACGGGATCTCAATCCACAACCTCACACATAGCTTGCAGTTTATTTCAATCATATTACCAACTCAGTCCAGTTATCATAACTCAATATCAAGAATTATCTCACATTACAATCATAATTCCAATTGTATAAATCATAGATATAATTGCAAATTGAAATTCACCAAAAAAATATTAAATAAAAAAATCTACCAGAGATTCGAGGTGTTTATCGATAGAGGAAACCTCCTCTCGGATCTCGAGCAACGCATCGGCCGCTACAATGAATGCGCGATAATTTCCCACAGCCACCTCCTGCATCTGCCTCCGAATTCTCTCCGCATCCACCCTCAATAGTTCCGGCTCCTATAACATCAGACCAAGAAACCGAAATCCAATACATAAACGAATAATATATACATATAAGTGTGTTTGTTTGTGTAAATTTAATAATGTTGGCACCTTGTGCAGGCGATCGAGAGTAAATGAAAGGAGTTCGGAGACGTAGGGCTGCTGAGAAGCGGAAGCGAGTGGTAGAAACCCCACCATAGCCGTCTCATCGTTCGCCAGAGCTTCCAATGATTCCATTGTAGGCATTTCGAGAGCTCAAATTTCTGCACTCTCGCGGAACTAAAGAGAAGATGTGCACAGGGGATTTGTCGGATCTTTCCATATTGGGTCTAGAAGATCATTTTTCAAATTTTATGGGTGTAATTGAATTTGTTTTAAATTTTGAGGATCACATTTTAAATTTGAATTGTAAATATGGAGAAAATTTCACCATTATGACAATTTGATCCCAAGATTCCCAACCTATATTTTTCTTTTTGAAGCAATGTCTTGAGAAGTCAATTATTATATTAATATCTAATAATATATAAAAATAAAAAAAATAAAAATAAAAAAGTAAAATGAGCTTCACGACTAAATCATCGAACCTTTAGTCAGTCACGCTATTTTTTTAGAAGGTCGACGTGTTGAATCCGTTAATACTCTAATATGTATTTTGGTTATATATATGTATAATTTTCTTTCCCATTCGATACTTGATTTCCTACCTTGTGACCAAGCCCCTTTCTCGGCTCCCTTCTCATACCGAAGGAGCTATATGGGAAAGGGGCCAACCGGGAAAAGGGAGAAGCCCACAATTGGATTATCGTAAATGAAAATTTTGAAAATAAACATTTTTTTCACTTTAACTATTATAGTAGGATTATTTTGAGAAATCGTCGCTTCAGTCTAACATATAAAATAAGTGGTTAATTGTCTATTACGTTGCAAATGTGAAGATAGTTATAACTAATATGTGAAGGCGAAACCTTAAAGTGCTAGCAAGGTTATCATTATTAATCCTTTTTTGTGGTTTAACTAAAGAAATTGATAAAAATCTAAGTTAAATTCGGTAATTAATTTTAACCACGCGTTTCATAGTGCTAACAATTTTTATCAACTGTTCAACCACATATTTCATCAACTTTTATCAGAATTTATTTGCCATATGTATCACATTATCAGAGTACATAAAAAACTCCAAGAATATGCCAAATACATCAACAAATAATTAGATTATCCAACAACTACAAACATGTAGGATAATGAAATTGGGCAAAATGCAAAGGGATAAACAAAAAATGTAAAGAACATAATATACTACAAAAGATTTCACTATCTTATATATTAATATACTCAGGAGAATGCCCTTAAATATTCTCCATGATACTCATACAACTTTTGGTCATCTAAGAAGAAGTACAAAACTTGAGATAAACAGCAAAATGGATCCCTGATGAGGAATAGAAGCAGCTTTTGAAGAATAGAAATAGTAATAAGGATAGGTATAATTCTTGGGTCCGATGCCAACACTAGGTGGCTGATTCCCTGGAATGTATATGATTTTGGGAGGAGGTGGTGGACTCTTGTCCCACGAAGTATAAGCTGGTGGTGGAGGCCGAGTAGGAAGAGGTGGTGGTGGTGAACCAAAATAGTACGGCTGCGGTGGTGAGTGGTGGTGGACTTGTGGCTGTGGCGACGGCTGAGGCGGTGGCGAGGACGGCGGCTTTGAATTGACTGGTGGGGGTGGTGGTGCACATATGACAGGGCATGTTTCACAGTCACTAATGCATAACAAACCTGCTTCTTCTGTTTGATCCTCAGATTTTGCTGTTGATAACATGATCAAGAAAAGAAAAATCCATCTTCTTGTCATGAATTCAAGAATTTCGGGATTTTTCATCTGATTTTCTTTAGGAAAGTTGAAAACAGAATGGAACTATGAATTTATAGGGATTTTGTGGGTAGCAAGGCTAGAATCTATAGATTAGATAGTCTATGCCTTTATCATTTTCAAGCTTGTCTATGGCTCATTCAAAAAGTTAAAAGGTAAATGGTGTGCAAAATACTTGCATTATATTTGGTAAGTTGGATCGGATGGAATTGCAGAATGAAAATACGTGATATATTTATCTATTATTCTCGAGGTTTCGCGTAGTGATTGTCTGTGTATGATGACTTGAGAGAACTGGGTCCGAAGTAATATATTTTTTAGTAGTGTGAAAAGGTTAAGAGAATCCTTAGTAGAATGCAATTGGGAGTGACATTTTTCCACATTGTATTATGCCTCTCTCTCTTAACACAATCCACTTTTTTGGGCATCAATACCACCCAAGTTGTATCCCACTTTATGCTGTCTGCTTTGCATATACTTTTCTTAAGGAGAAGAACTTTCCAAAAGAATATATTTTAGTCTCTAATCCCAAGCAAAGAATTTCATCTGTAGTTTTTAGAAAGGGTGCTCTTCCTAAATGTACAATTATAGGTACTAAGAATCTGCACTGAACGAATAAAGTAGGCAGACCTTGTGAAAATCAAGCATTGGTGGCCCCATTCTCTTGCTTAGACATGGATACAATTGAGGGACGACTTAACAATAAGAGCATCTTCAAAAGACTTTTTAAATATGAGATGCTCTCTATTTTAAAAAAATAACATTTAAAATCATACTACAAGAGACTCTTTAAATTAATATTTTAATTTAGAGAGTGGGTTTGAGTCAAACTCACTCTTAATTTGGAGAGCCAAACTCACATTCTATAATTAAATGCATTCAAAGTGTTTCAATTTTCAATATCTGAAAACAATAAAATAATATAAAAAAAGCGTGTTAAAATAAAAGATAAAGAAAAATAATAAATATTTTTTTGCAGTAATAAAATTAAGTGTTAAATATAATAAGTTTGTTGGAGTACTTCAAAATTTTAAATCTCTAAATTTATAGATTCTCTTCAAATGATAGAATATACTCTTTAAAAATAAAGAGTCTTTTGGAGATACTCTAACTCCCTTTTGATTTGTCTAAAAGTTCATATTGGTATTTTCAATGTGTCCATCCATGAGGCGGAAGAACTAGGGATACTCGAACTCGTCCTTGGACGAGCACAAGGCGAGCCGCCTATGACAGCGCCCACGAATGCGCTGCTCATGGGTGATCGACGAGCCTGCCTACGAGAAGGTTCGACGAGCCATGAGCTTGAGCTCATAACTCGCTACTACAGTGACAAAAAGGGGTCACTTTTTAAAATCAAGTGACCTTTTTTAAAAATGGGACTCAAACATGGATGTAATGACCACTTGAAAATTTTGGAAGTTCAAAAACAATTGAAAAGTAATTTAAAAAGTTTGGTAGCAACTCAAATTTGTATAAAGTTTAATGAAGACGGAAAAATATTTAGAAATTCAATTTAATAAATTAGAATATTTAATCCTATTCATTACATCTTAAAAAAATGGTAAAATATATTTTTTATTTTGAAATGATGTACCGTCGTGATAAATTAACATGCTAACCTAATTTCATCAATTTAAGAGCAAATGCGTTATTGAAGTTCACTTGAAATTAAACTACCAAATTGGGATTGCAGGAGACATGACAACTAGAACCATGGGAGACATAAAATACCAACCAAGAACCATGCTATATGTAGAGTTCGATAACTTTTGTTGACAATCATAAATTCGTAAAACATACACTATCCATTTTAAAAATTATTTTTTAAATCAATCAAACAGATCTTGATAATACATTGATTGTCAACAAAAGGTGTCAAAAATCATTATACAAATAGCTTTACTCACGAAACAATCTTTGTACTCCAATGGTTCAAAGGACTCAATTCCATTATTGGCTCACAAATCATTACTCAGATGTCATTGTATCAATATTTCGTACAGTCTTTTGCAGCAATAACCCAAGAGACAAGATAGACTAAGTACTTGTTTGTCTCCCATTTTGAGAGAAGAAATAGAGTTTTGAATAACATTTCTTTAAAGAATGTGTGGTTGAAAAATAAAATAATTTTATTAGTTTGTGTATAGAATATTTTATTAAGTGAATATGTGATGGAGATTGTTTACTGTAAACAATGTTCGATAAAATGGATGACAAACAGGGGCTAAATCACATGATAAAATAACCATACATCAATACAAGTACTTAGTATCTATACTTGGTGGAGTAATCTTTCGGGGCAATAACTAATCCTCGGCCCTTCCTGGCACCGCGGTAGACAGTCTCGACTATGTCAATGAACTCCTGTTTATCCTTGAGAGCCCAGTTAATTTTATTGTTGTTCCAAGTGACAAGATCAAACATAATGTGTTTGTTCCTGAAGAAGAACATGAATATTGTTGTTCCCAGTGCCAAGATCGATCATAATGTGTTTGTTCCTGAAGAAGAACATGACAGTTGATGGATCGTACAGCTCGTACATTGTATTGAAATCTGGCACCTCGGTTATATCCACCAAGTAAATAACAGCAAAATTCTTTACTGTTTCAGCAACAGAAGCCAACACCTCATCCATCTAGGAGAGAAAAGAGGATATCAGACAGTATACAGGAGAATTTTAGGTATATGGAACGCAAAAAATAGCATATGATCACAATGAGGACGTTAACTTTCTTTCCTCAAATCTTGTTCAATATTGTAGTTTCCAACATGCCAAACACATCAGAGAGGTCCAAACTCATACATTAAATAAAACAGGATGAAAGAAATATTCAAACTATCATAAAAACACACAAACCAATCAAGCGTAACAATGGGCAAACGAAAGGTTTAGCTTGAAACGAAGTCCAAGTACACAATTTTTATGCTCCTTTATTTGCTTCTACTTCCCTCATTTTGTGGTTCTCTTTCATTCCTTCCCTTCCTGTAGGGTTTTTAAGGAGGAGATGGATGACTGCAAAATATTAAAATATTCAGATTACGAAGTTCAGAGAAAAAAGTGATCATGCACGCCACCATAACAGGAAGTAATGCCTCTTCTATCATCAAGAAAACTATGTACGAACTCTAAGGTCATGTTTGATAGCCTTCATTTTCCCTAGAAGTAGGAATTCATTTTCCATTTTCTTA